TTAAGTAATAGGTACTCGTTTAATTATGCACTTTATGTTTCTGCCGGTAATAAAAGTTTTCCCTGAATCACGTCTCTAGGTAATGCACCGTCAGATACGCAAAATAAACGCATTGTACAAAATGCGACACTATTTTGGGGTAAATAGGTGAATCATGTCGATGTCGACCACCCACGTTGGTACGGATCCAAGTACTATAAATTTACACAAACAGATGGCAAACATACTGTACGCAAACTTTTTAAAGTATGTAGTGTAGATGTTTTTTTACCTTGACTTGTCACCTACACTACTCAAAACGATTAACAATTCTAATTCCATTGTGTTATTATGCCATGCAGGTAGAATCAATAGCAAAAACCCAGACGAAATTAACAAAAAAAATAGTTATTTGTGTCACAAGTACGAAAAATACACGTTTTCGAGACGAAGAATAGTGTTGTTGGACGGCGTCCGGGTCACGAAAACGCGCATTTTTCGTATGAATGAAACATACACTTTTTTGCATCCCCAAAGCATCTGGCTCACAGCTGGACAGTGATGCCCAGCATTAAATATTTACAATATGAGATATGTTTGCCTTTAGAAATTAAAAAAATTCGTGATTCAATATTTAAAAAACTTATGTATGCCGTGTGCCATATCACTTGTTCAATGTTTCGTTTTGAAATTTTACGATACGGTCCACCCGATGATCCCCCCGTGTACGCAACAGACACGCGCATCCTGACAGCACACGGCATGCTAGATTTCATAAGTTTTCTAAATACTAAATCACGAATGTTTTTTGTTCTTTTAAAGTAAAAGTATTTAGCTGAGAAAATTGCGCATGCGTAACAGATCTATGACGTAGTCATGATATGCCGGCTGGACAGATCCCGACTGGTGGCCAGCACCCAAAATGAATTTTTTGTCCTTTACTATCTCATTCTGTCATAATATGACGAATTAGGAATTACAACAAATTACGGAACGAAAAAAAAACTTTTTATCAGCCTGATTCGTGGCAAGGCCTTTTTATCTACGAGTGGTAAAATATACGCGAAGGAACATTTTCGAGTAAACTCACCGCGGATAAACAAACGAACATTAAAACTTCTTTATAATAAAAAAAAGTGTTTTTCGGTAACGGCTGGTTAAAAGCAAGTTCCTCCAAGTTCAGTGACGTAATTGGACCACGCCTTGCGCAATAAACAAAATTGCATTGCATTTTTTTGTATTTCTTTTTTATGAATCACACCAATATTTTACATACAAGAACGTGTAAAGAAAAATGGAAATTGATCGCCTTTGTTTTCATTCATGTATTCAATCAACTAAGTTCACATGAGTATTTATTCAAGTTCAATCAAACCAGAATATTAGATTTTGAATTTGAGGTCTTATGAGGAGATAATGGGCCAAACTGCCGCTGGGTCAAAGGTTTGAAAAACCTATTACCGAGTTAGCCGTGGGTAAAACCGCTATTAAATCACAACCTTGTAGAATTGGAAATTGTCAGGGTTTAAAAGATTGAACCACTGCATGAAAAGTTATGGAAAAGAGATGGATTTTTTGCTTACATCTACTAAAAAAATGTTTGTCTCTTCCTCTCATTTCTAGTATTCTAATAACGCCAAAAAATTAATTAGGAAAAAATATTACCTACCTACCTAAAAAGGGGTGCACCAAACAGTTTTTCCAGACCTAAGGGCGAAAACGAAAAGTTTTCCTTTTGGGATGTTGTCATATCTTACTACCCATGCTAGAGAAAAGGTAAAAACCGCACATTTTATATATTTTTACGTAGAATCCAGTGCCGTAGTAAAAAAAATTTTTTGACATGTTGGTATTCTTTAAATGCACCATCCTGTATATCTTAACGTCAGTTTTTTTGTATTATTCTTACTGATTATATTGATATATCACCACCTATACATTACCTTATTCTTGGCTGTTTTTAGTGCACTTTCGCTTTCAAAAAATAAAAAGTGCACTTTTGCGCTCTTGATGTCTGTCTGTCTCTCTGTCAGAGTCCCAAAGTCTCCGGAACTACACCACTTACAGACTTGGTATTGGTTTCATTCGATCAGAAATTAAAAATTATTTCTTGTTCGTATTCTCGTTAAGGCATAAAATGTCCGTGAGGGCTATTCAAATCGAAAAAAAAACAATGCGTGCACTCTTCGCCTCCTGATCACAGGCGACTTAACGAAGTTTTAAATAGTAGGTCATGGCAGTGGCGTATCTAAGGTGGGGCAGACAGGGCACGTGCCCTGGGCGCCTACGCAGAGGGGCGCCAAACTCGAGAGGGCGGAAAAGACGAGATTCAATACAACTCAAAACTACGGCTGATGGTTCGAAATAATCGTATTCTCTGATAACCAACCTGATGCAAAATTTATGCAAATTTTATAAAAAATTTTGCTAAAATTTGCCTAAAACTGCGTAAATCTAAGACTGTTTGTAATATAAACTTTGCATAAACTTGAATGCAAAGTTTACATCAAATTTGTGTGAAAAATTGTTAACTGTTAAATAAACTATTAGTGAAATAAAAATTAGACAAATTAGAAAATTTTCGCGACCAAGAAGGCCGATTACAAGTACGTTGAATTATTTTTGTTTATTTTCATTAGTCGATTTTTACAAGGAATTGTAAGCAGATCTCAATTCAGGTTAAATATACAATTATTCGATCCTTCAAAGCTTGTTTTTTCCATGGTTTTTATGTACAGAAATTATACACATTTTAATTACTCATAGTATTTATTTAATACGCCAATCCGAAGTCTTTCGCATTTTTCCAGTGCCATAAATTTTCCCGCGGCATCAAACCACCTATAAATTGCTGATAACTCCCAGAAGCATTTCTGAATTGCAATTGATAGATGGTGAATGAGGGAGGGGGGGGGCGCAATTTCGGCACTTGCCCTGAGCGCCATTTAGCTCCGGTACGCCACTGGGTCATGGATTCATGGAGATTTTGTTTTGTTTATTGTATCCATGGTAATTATGACAGTCTATACGAATCAATAAAAATGGCTGACGGTAGAAACATGTCATGTCAAAAATGTTGAAAAATAAGATATAATATACAGGGTGACTTTTTTTCATTTCCACTATGGGGATCTCGTAAACCGTAAGAAATCCAAAGTCGCTTAAAGGGAAGATATACAGAATTTTTAGGCCGATTAATTTTCCCAGTTATAGTTTTTTGTACATCCACAAATAGCGAAGTTATGGCCAAAAACGAAAATAAGCTAGCGTGGAAGCCATATTGGATTTTTTCATCATTCGATAGAAAAAAAAATTACAAAATCAGCAATACTAAGCACTTACTATTTCATTTGTGTGAAAAGTGGAACTCTTTGTTTTCACCCTGTATCTCAGAAACAACCCACTAGATTGATTCTGTTTGTGATATTCAAAGTTTCACAAAAAAGTGACACAGAGTCAAGAAAACCGCGTCTGTATCTTTCAAAACAGCCGAGATACAAATCAGTCTTAACTAGAATAGAACACACGGTAAGTACCTACATAAGACGATTGTAACAATTCATTCACCGAGAAACCTCTAGTGTGAACTCGTCTTCGTCACATATTCCGTTGTTTTCAAAGACAAAGACAGAGCCCCCCCCCCCCTCTTCGTTATTCGTTTTTTGTTGACAATGACGAATGTCGCGTTGGAACGAATCTGTCATTTTTCATCATGGCAATTTGCGCGTAGAAACTGTTATTAAACAATGTTTGCTTATAACGAACGACAAATCGTCGCCGTGTGAACGAGGTGCTACTCGACAAAGGACTCTGTCAGAGCCTATTAGTAGGCTCTGGCTCTGGCGTATGGTCAACTGTAGTTTGATATCCAATTCCATACTTCTTCAAAATTCATCCTGCAACTATCACCACTTGGTAGCACAGAGGAAATAATATGCATGTGTCTAGAATTTTGGAATAACATAGTATTTAAACAACAAAAAACACATTAGATAACCATGATCGGTTTACTTCAATAATTTATAATCAAAATAATATCAACATTTTTCAAGATGGAGATAGCTGGTAATGTATTGATACCCCGATGCTCAATTGTTTCTGATTAGGTCATTGTAATCCGAGTTGTAATGCTAACGTTACGTATTTGCAAATTTCAAATTTGATCGTCTCGATCTTACCTCCAGTAACAATAGTGCCGGTTTCAGTTGGAACACACTCTATATACCGAGCTCCGAGCCCTCTAATTTACGAGCATCAGGCCTCCTCCGAGTTAAAGACGCAATTTTGTCTAGGTGGAGTGCTGGTATCTTAAACAAACAGATCGATGAAAGGATTTCAAGCAGACATGAAGCAAACAACTTCGAAATTGTGCCGCCACTGGCGTCGTTATTGCAGAAAATTTCCACTAAAATTAAATTAGGTCCAGTAGGACAGTATAGATTTCCGCATCCTTATAAAGTACAACGTTCGCAATTAAACTCTTTACGAGAAGAATGGTGCCACACGAATTCCGAGTATTTCGAACAATTGCTAAACGCGCCCTAATTATCCACCGAAAAGAGCCTATAACTAAAAATTACAAACGTCACATTTAAATGACGTCAGGAATTCGGCGCGCCAAAACGTCTTCCTGCTACAATTAATCATTTGTTACGGCTATATTTAGAATATCGCTTAATTATTTCAATTTTGCGATGATGGAGACCGCTCGTTTTTACTATCGCATATCGGCAATAATAATAATAGATAATATAATTGTCGAATTTGTCCGTATACCACTTACCCTTGCAGGTTCAGTGAACCTAATTACTTGCATTCTAGGAAAAAAGGTAAATTCGATCGACACTTTTTAACTAGTGCGCGTTTATCAATAGGCAATTATTTTCAAAGCATTATCTTAAATAAACAAATTATTCAGTAAACAAATAAACAAATTAGGTAAGCGGCTTACCTACTAACCTAACGTTTAATACAAGCAACGCCGGCATTTGTTAATAAAAAAAACCAAAAAAGATGCCCACCTTTTCGTCGTCCGAATGGCCCAAGGAACGCATTATTCTTTCCAACGATGTTATCATCGATGTACTTCAAAAGCTTAGCAACATCCTCAACTTTTTTCGGCACACTACCACTACCGGAAGAACTTTTCGGTTTCACTAAACGTAGAGGATAATCTTCGGGAAATGTGTACAATTTTCTATTTCCATATGATTTTCTTATTGTTGTAGTTGATGTCATTTTTCATTCATTATAATTGGAAAATTACGTCGCGGAAGCAAATTGTAAACGAACAGAAAAGAGCGACTGCTACACAACACAAAAGTTGACACTACACTACTAAAAGAGAACTATTATTTAAACGAAAACGCTCAGGAACGAGATTTATTCAAGTGCGTCTACACCCGATCGATACAATTCGTTCCATTACGTAAAATCGTATAATCATCGACATTACCGACGGCGCGCACCGCCCTCTCTGTACAGGAAACGGACTAATAAAATTGCAGTGCAGAGGAAGTTAATTTTTATTTAATCAAATCAAGTACATCTTAATTTCCGTAACATTACTCCTTAGCTTCACTTTGAGCATCTCCGCCCGACTTGCAGCCACAGTTATTTCCTGAAGGGACAAAATGCAATTTTTTAACTATCAAACCGGAACTTTCCTACCTGAGTCTTTTCCGCATTTGCAATCCGCACCGCAAGTGCAATTAGATCCGCACGTTCCCTTATCGTCGCCGCACGTGTCTGAAATAGGGAGATGATGCAAACAGATAACAAGACATTTTACAAACCTGGACACGAATCACAAGGGGAAGGCATTTCGTAATATACAGAAACTGGGTAACGATTACTTCGCCCTTTATAAATGCGATGCGTTAAACATGCGCCCCTTGAAAATGCGCGCACTTCACTTTCTTGTCCAACAGGAATTTTTGAGAAACAAAAATGTCAATATGAAACCTACGCCACCTTGATCGACTTTACACTATTTGTCCCTTTTTTACACACTGTGGTACCTATATACTCAAAAATTTACACTTTTTGAAAAAAAATAGTTGCCGAGCAGGACCCAATTAAAATCGTCCCGCCATCACCCCGATGAACCCCCCCTTCTGCCGCTGCCACGAAGGCGCCGGCAGAATCCGCTTATGTCCCGCAAATGTCTGAAGAGCAAGAGGACTCCAACCTGTGAAGAACAGCAGGAATAAGATTGAAGAAGAGAGCGCGCTTCCAACGTTCGTGAGATGCGTTAAGCTGGATTCACATGAATATACGAAATCCGACGATACGGTTATCAGAAATGCTTATGATTGGTCAATAGTTTGAAATCAAGCACACTTTCATTTCGGATGACCGTATCGTCGGATTTCGTATTCATGTGAATCCAGCTTTAGACCGAAACCGAGTTCCGAAGACTTCAAGACGAGGTTAAGACCGCCGCCATCCTCAGAAACGAGTCCTGGGAAAACCGCCTGCGATCCTTGAGCGAGGATTGTTCCCTTTGGAAGATGGCAAGGGCGCTCCGCCGTTCCCTACCCGAGATTGTTCCCGCTGCACGGAGTCGGAGGACATGGACGCTGAGAAGGTCGACGCCTTCGTGGGTGTCTGAAACGTCACTTTCCACCCATCTACGAAAACGCAGATCTTCACTTTATCGACGCCATCAACCGAAGGATCAAGAGATCTCTGTGTCATTGAATAAAAGACGCCAAACCCCAGAGAGGCGCCAGGACCGGAAGGCATTGGGAACAGGGCACTCGAAGGAGCTTCCTGAACATGCGGTCAAAATTCTCGCTTTTATTGTAAACGCGATGCTAAGATTGCGGCACTTTTCATCTCGGTACAAATGTTCCGACGTAATTATGTTACAGAAACCGGGCCAGCCCACGACGTCCCCAGAGATGAACTACCGGACTACCGCCCATTCAGTCTGCTGTCGACGATCGCCAAAGTATCCGCGGCGAAGCGGTGATAGTGAAGAGACTGCAGGACCAAACGGAGGAAAGACGCATCATTCGGATTCCGGAAGGACCACTCGGCGGTCCAACAAAGTGCTAAGGACGATAGAACACGTACCATCAGTAAGGTTTCAACCGCAACTAGTCCACGCAGGATCAGTCTTTTTGACCGTCTCTAAGGCGTTCGACAAGGTCTGGCAAACGGCCTGCTGGAATCGCGGTCTCCCCCTAGCCGCGATCATGGAGTAAATAATATTAAATTATTTACTTCATGCCACTTCTTTAATACTGTGGTACGGCTGTACACATCGATTGTCCGCGGTGATGGGGCTACGTCGCAGCACCACACATCGCAAGAATGCAGATCGTCCAAAACAAAAGCGCCGAGAATGGCTGTAAACGCCCCGCGGTTCGTATGGAACGCAGACATCTATCAAGATCTGGACATGGCCACCCTTAAGGATATTCATCACTGTACCGCGGCGGTGAAGACCTTCGGCCGCCTCCGAGACCAGAAGACCCGCATCCCCGCTCACTCCTTCCATTATTTCACATATCTTGTAAAAAACACGTGGTTTTTGAGTGCGACCGCCATCTTGAATTTTTTTAAATAGCAATATGTGACTTGTGATACGTCATTGGAAAATGAGCATCGCAAGGTTTTTCTGCATTATTTTGTAATTTAACCTTATACATATTTAAAGTAGTAGAAAAGGGGAAAAAGTGTTCTGATCTTAGAGAAGGAAAGGTTCTGATGACGTGTCACATGACCTATGTTCAATGTTGCCATTAAAAAAATTCAAGATGGCGGTTGCACCCAAAAACATGTCAAAAAAATGTATGTGAAATAACTTCCAATGGATTGAGCTGGAGCATGAGAGCTTTGGTTCCATCTTTAATAGCGACCCTATATTTCCTCCATGGTTAAATTGATTGAAGTAATTTGCATTTTGTTACAAATAGTTTTTTGAAAAAAAAATGTTCTAAAAAGCATTTCAAGATCAAAAGGAAGTTTTAGTACGAACAGAGTACTTTCATACATTTTAAAACAATCCACGAATTCGAAGCCACTTTATGTTAACATTTGGGCTGCACTGTTGATACCAAAGCAGGTGGTCTTTGTTTTTATTTTTACTTTTGCAGTTCATTTTCTCGGAGAACTTTACATTAAAATGTTAATAAAAATGACAATAAGTGTAAACTGTTCCGAAAAATATATATAAAAAATACGATAGTAGTAATAGTATTTAATTTAGAAAAGCACAAACATAGTATAATTGCGTATTAGTGACCATACCTAAAAACAAGAATTAATTAACATAGATAGACATAATTATGTATAGATACTTACTTTTGAAATTCCCATTCCCTATTGTCCAAAGGACAAACCTGTCTAGTTTTCAGCCACCGAGATATGCAATGGAAGTGAAACGCGTGCTGCAATACACAATTTACAAAGAGATAATGCTAGTCAATTCACCTACATTGCACACTCCCCAAGCGACCGTGCACTCCTCACTTGTTGCCGATGCTTGATTCGCTTGACACTCAATGCATAAATCCATTATGTGGTTGCGACAAATAGCGCAATTGTCTACTACGATATCTAAAATGGTGGTGCTTAGATACAACGTTCAGTATTTTCATAACTTACCCCACGCCCATAGGGCAACCGCGTTCCACTAAAAACAAAAGAAAAACAATGAACTCTTCATGACACAATTGGTGGAAAGAATACCTTTTTAACCTCAAAGCGTTTCTTTTCACCTTTCGAGCTGCTGGACGTTGGCGCTTCGATTTCCTCCTCGTCAATATCCATCGCCGATGCCATTCTTGAAAATAATTAATAAATTTTTATCTACGACCAGTATGACTGACGAAAAGTGCAAATTGTCTTCGAGCGGAGTAAACTTGTCAACTGGCGGTGTATCGATACCAACTTTGTCCCACCAAATAGCACTAACACGCATTTTCGCGGGATTTGAATTCAAAAATGATCACATTTTAACGTGAATAGCGCCTTCATGAGGCATTAATTAAATGTGAAAAAAGTCAAGGCCTAACCAACAGTGTACATTTGCACGTGGCCCCTGAAATTTTTGGATGTACCCTTTCTGATTTTCCTACAAAATTAATCAAACTCCTATCCCAGTATGACACACCCAGACCTCGACACCATTAACTGCAGATACCAAAAAAATTATCCTCGTGTGAGATCGAAGGGACTTCAGCGCATTTTTTGTGTGGCAGATCAGTATTCTATTAGCCACTTTTGACTCAACCATCAATAAAAGATCTTGTCGAAGGCTACTACATTCAGTTTGTCGGTACCGCTTCCCACTTTCCGCGTGCATCCGCAATTCGCGTTTGAAGATTTGACTCCACCATCAGTAAGATCGTGCTACCACATTCCCGGGTACCCACTTCCGGCTACCACATTTCCTTTTTCGGTGCATACTTATATTACACCCACATTTTTGTGGATTTCGCTAAAAACCTTCCACAAGATAGTACTTAATTTTTGGGGCACTACTCATTACTCAAGCTTCTATTGGCGACACGAGAAAGAGAGATAGCGATTTGAGATTTAAGAAACGTTAAACCGCGTGACAAAATTGGACGGAAGGTAAAAGGCGCCCGAAGTTGACTACCTCTCGAAGACGCGCGCGCCTTTAAAAAGGTCGTTAATTTCGCCCCTAGGACAAAAAACAAAATTCCGCCACGCAGGAGTTGTGCGCGTTTACAAGATCTTTCCGACGACACCAATTTGTAAAGAATCGGACCAAAACTGTACTAGAAGATAGGGAAAGACTGAAAAACCTTCACGTTAGTAAACTACGCTCGAGGATGTCGCCAACTCCACATCATGTAGCCCTGTCCATAAAATTGACAAATTACACGGCCTTGTAGATACACGTACACCCGTTACCTTTCTACAAGAGTTCTTCTACGCGCCCACATTTGCTGCCAGCCAGCCAGCTACGTTTTACAAATAAATTTGCAAAAATGCAAAAAAACATGAAAAGAACGAAATGGACTTACAATGAGTAGCTACGCTTTGTACATGTGACCCGCGTTGGACTGAAGCACTTGATGAGTGCGCATTGAGCGGGAAATTCAAATATACCCAATGGTGGCGTGAACTGGTAGAAATTCTAGCCAATGGTGGCTGAAAAATTTGTATACAACGCTTAGTTGCAATGAGACGCCTGCGCGTTACGCGGGGCACCTTTTTTTGTACCTATAGCATTGAGTTATAATTTCAATGGCTATAGTCTGGAAACAAAGTAGCGCCCCACAAAAATGCATGCAATTCTGAGCATGTTTAGGATCTAAATTTCGTATAGAATATTATATAGTTATTTGTACAACTGTAGAGACGAAAGTGGTGTTTTTCAACTTGAGTTCAAAGTTTGAGACGAGTGTAGCGATTTCTATGTCCAGGTACCACTTTTGCATTTGTTTTTCTCAATATTTTTCGTTTAATTGAACTAAACTTTTTCTTTAAAAATCCTAGGGGTGATTACAGTTATCCCATGGATATTGATAATGTTCATTTGTCTCTCCTTCAATGAAACTATAAAACAGAACTACATGTTTCAATCAAAAAGAGACAAACAGATGTTATAAGTGACACTCTTTTGTTCATCAATTAAATAGCAAAATCCGTTGTACGAGATCCCACATAAGGTCAACCTTTGCTAATCTGTTTACCTAGTAAAATACCTACATTTTTTAGCAATATTAAAATGTAAAAGAACACATTGCACATGGCCACTGAACTATAATTAACTGGAACGCGCACTGGCCGTCTGTCATAGAAACGTACCGCGGCGAGAGAGATAAGTGCAAGGGGGATTTTTGTCACTGTCACTCATTAGGCAACTGATTATTAATGTAAATTCAAAACATAAAATAGGGTGCTCTATGCATGCGCGAGAGTAGGACAGAGATTCCACATGGCCCAAGAAATTAAATCAAAACTACCCCTATATTTCTATGCTTCTATTACATGGAGAGAACGTATGCGCACTATGCGCAGATGTTACGCTGCGCCCTCGTTTCACAAATTGATGTGCGCATGCGCTCTCTCCATGTGATAGAAGCAGACATAAATATTAATTACATTAATTTTAATTAAAGATAATCTCGACTTAATTTGTTTAGGTAACCCATTTGCAATGTGATTGTTTACATATCGATTCCTAAAGAGTGTATTTCACTCGGTAAACAGATGGGCGAACGTTGACCCAATCTTAAGATTATAAGGAATGTATCAATTCAAATGCTTACAAAGTTGAAATATTCCAAGGTGTGGAAAATGTATTTATGAATGATTTATTAAAAATACATAAATGTAATTAGTGTTAGGAACTAGACAGTTCAGAATTTTTGAAATACTTTTTAAAGAAAAAGAAAAGAGAAAAACAAGAGTAGAAAACTAAGGCGAACTGTAGAAGAAATATAAAATTAACCTTACAAGTACAATAATTTTTCTTTTTGTAGTAATTACTACGCAATATTTTATATACACAACTATTTACAATTAAGTAATTTACTTTACAGCAATATTTTTTTGTATGGATCGCATGAAAGCACTTTTATACAAGTTGAAACATACAGCAGAATTTTAACAATACTTTTTTTCTTAACAAAGATACTAATAAAACCACAGAGGTAATATTCATTTCTAGTACCTATCTAAAAACTCTACACCTCAAGTATTAAAAATAGTACAAAAATAATACATTTTCACATCTAACATTGTAAAATTAAAAATAAATAAACTAAAAATATGTACAAAAATTTAATTTAAAAATAAACTAAGAACCAAAATAATTACCTAATTTACTTACGACATAATAAAATCACAATTTCTTTTATTTAAACTTCTTAGTTGGCAGTGTTGGACGGTATGTTGATAGTGTGACTTTCGTTACCAAATATCAATTTTAATCGTTTCATAGGTGGATGTGTCATCGGATAATTCAAATGCTTCATTTTTCTATCTCGCCTATGATCTTTGGATTTGTGGCGTTTTTTCCTGCGCGAGTGCGACGCTTGGTGATCGACACCTTCGACGCGTAACACCTCATATTCGGGTTCGTAGCTATCTTCGCTTAGACTATTTCCCGATTCGATAACTTCATCTAACACCGGACTACGTTTCATGCGCAACGTCAACTTTAATCCGCCGCACTTGTCGGGAGTTCGCTCGACGGGCGCCGCCGGTTGTGGCATCCTCTCGGGAGATCCGCACGGAGTAATACATCGTTCTATTTCGCCGTTATCGTTATTGGAATTATCAGTCTTGCCTCTCGTACTTTCTTCCGCGTTTATTGTGTGGTTATCACTATCACAGTCTTCCTTATATTTGGTGCTGTGCAGTCGAAATGTGTCTAGTTTGCCGTCGTCGTCTTTAAATTCGTAAACGTCCTTCAGTACTTCACCTTTCGCCTCTAACTCTTCCGATAGTGTCGCGCTTGTACTACGCTGGGAAAGACGAGCGGAAACACGTGTGGGCCGACGTGTGGCATTGGACGATCGTTTTTGCGGCTTTCTGATATCAGCGCCTTCGGGTTTCTCGTCAATACCCGCAAAAACGTTGAGGGAGACTGCTCCAGAAATATCAGAGATTCGTTCTTGAAGACATTTGTGGTTACGTAATGTTATTCCTAGTACGGTTTCGATAGACTCCTTTTTCACGTCTAAAGATTCAACAAACTCCTTGCTTTGAGATGACTCGTAGATGTCTTGATCGCTATATCCCGTACTTGTACTCGCGTTGCTATGCAGGTCGTCCAATAGGTTCGAACGGGATGTGTTTTGAATTACTTCTAAATTACGTCGCGCTTGTCTTTGTTGGAGTCTCGAGGCGCGAGAGCTCTTCAACGTCGTACCGTTAATCACAGAATTAGTATCACTTCTTTTACTACGAAAGTTATGAGACGAAATGTTATCGTGCGTTAAATTAGATCTATTTTTACGATTAAACTCGCTTATGTCTGAAAATTTACAACCTTGAGCAATGAGCAACTCCGCATCGTACTTGGTTAACCCTTTCTGACGCAACTCCTTCATGCTCAAGGGGCTGACAATTTCCACACCGGTATCTTTAAGCGTGTGTCCGTTGCATTGCTCGCTCCTGCCTTTCACTAACTGCTTTTTAGTTCGATTAATACGATTGTCCGTCTCACGTAATCTATAACCGTTCTCCTCCTTTTGCTCGGTATTCTTAGCAAACGCGCCCATTCCGCGTCTTTCACAAGTTTCACATTCACAATAGCAGTTTTTATCGCCGAAAAAATCCTCACCGTAAAAACAAGTTATTTCCTCGCCCGACTCGATGTCGCGTAACACTTTAACGCAGGCGGTATCGCGACCTGTCGCCACAAATTTGCAGTTCGCCCGACAGTCGTGATTAATGTAGGCCGCTGGCCCTAACCACAGTTGAGCACAATTTTTACGACAGCTATACATTACCGAAAAATCATTTTTTCCCGGATGCAACAGCATCGCCTCCTCCTCTTCGGTTAACTCGGCTATACACCCGACCAAAATTTCTATCTTTTCATTTTTATACCACTTTCTCGTCGCCGATATTTTCGCCCCCTTTTGACCCTCGAGAGAATAACGATAACACGGTTCGATAACGAAGCCAGACTCCTTGCTGAACACTCGTAGGTAGCGATAAATCTATAACACATATAGATTTAGATGGGAAAAAATACGTACAGATTTAATTCATTGATTAACGTATTCACAGGATCTTGAGTATATAGCAAGGCAGCGCTCTATGATATGAATAACAGGGTTTTGGTACACTAGCAAAAATAAACAAAAAGAAAAATATAGTCATAATAAACCGGATAGGCGCCACTTAGTCTTTAGTACATTTCAAAAGAGAAAACAGAATATTTACCTACAGAGTGAAACAAGGTGGACTTAGAGATTCCTGTTGCATGTAGTCTTGATAAGCTAAAGAAACAAAATACTTGAACACTTGAAAAAAATTACCTTTGAACTCTGGTTGTAACAGCGTTGTGAGCTCAGAAGGGCGCTTTCTGCCTCATCTGTAACAGATAACAACACAAACAAAAGGGATAATAAATGGTGCGGCAGAAAAATATTGCGGCAACAATGTCTAACGTCTGACACTAATCAGGTAAATCGTATATTAAAACAGTAATTTACTCAATAAGAATCAATAATTAAATTTACTTTAAACCAAAAGCAAAATTTTGACTCGATCACGAATTGTTCGTACAGATCAGTGCATAAAAGCATGAATGTGGCATTAACTTCAAGAAAACTACTTTACGATGCACAAACAACTAAATTTCTAAACAACAGCAGTAATCTAATAAGTCAAAATGTAAATAAGATAACATGAACAAATTCTTCGGAGCGACACAAGTAACCTACTTATGTGAAAATCGTAGAATATTGGATACCAGGAATGATAAAACTAGTTCCACCCCCCCCCGCCCGTATTTTGATAAAAGGACAGAAGAAGGGCAGTAGTTGGTAGAAAACGGTTCCTTTCGTTGAGACCTTTAATTAGAATACAATAAGAGATCAAATTAATGTTTGCCCCCCCCCCTCAAGCCCCGCCGCTCACTGATCTCGAAAAATAGTCGCACGGGAAAGTTATAGTTTGTACAAACCAATTTATGTCCATGATAATAATATAATAATAATAATATAATAATAATAATAATATTTATTCCTCAACTGTTTTACAAGTAGTATATTTACAAACATAAATAAAAATTAATATGCAAAACAGCCAAGCCATATAAGGCGTAGAGGAAAAAAAAACTCGAGTACGTAATATATATATAAATAAGCTTCAAAATAGAATATTAAATGGACTAAATGGAAATAATTACACAAAAATAAGGAATTATATTAACCGGTTGTACTTGAAAAAAACTCATCCAGTGAATAAAACTCATTTTGTTTTAGTCACGATTTAAGTTTGCTTTTGAATTTATTCATAGACTGTAAATTTGTAGTGACGGCAACTTATTGAATATTTTAAGGCCCTGGTCTATTGGAAAATTTTGTAATTGAGTACTATGTACCTTAGGTAAACGAAGTTGAGTGTTTGTTCTAGTTTTGTGCTCATGTACATCTGACGGCTCAATATAGTTATGTTTATTATTATAAATTTGTAGAGATATTCTAAAAATGTAAAGATTTGTTAATGTAAAAAGTTGCATGAAACAAAACTTTCCTCTGCAAGAATCTAAACGGTTCATATTGAGAATCGTGCGAATCGCTCGCTTTTGCAATTTAAACGCCTTATGTACATGAACACTACTACCCCAAATCTCAATACCGTAAGAGAGAAGACTTTCGAAGCAGGCGTGATACACTTGCTTAGACGTTTTAGTACCCAATATATCCTTTACGCTTTTAATAAGAAAAATCGACTTAGCTAGTTTGAAGCAAAGGTCTTCTATATGCGGTGCCCAAGAGAAGGTACATAGTCAATTGTAATGCCAAGAAATTTGGTGCATGAGACCGGTTTAATGTGATTGTTATCTACAGTTATATCGGGACAGTTGATTTGTACATTCGATGAATGAAAAAAGATGTAGCATGACTTGTTGATATTTAAGAACAGCTTATGATGATTCATCCAATTGTTAATTTGTCCAATGATATGGTTAGCGTGTAATAAGAGTGTGTTATAGCAAGCGTTGTGAATGATCAGGGAAGTGTCATCTGCAAATAAGGTAAATTTAACAGTGGGGAATGAAGCAACTAAGACGTTGATATACATTAGGAATAGAAGTGGACCAAGTACGCTTCCTTGCGGAACACCACATTTAACCGTTCTGTATCCGGACTGGAAGGTATCAATGATGCCAATATTTGTTAAATATTTAATTTCACACAATTGTTGTCTATTTTCAAGGTAGGAAGTAAACCACAGTTTCGCCACTCCTCTGACCCCAAGCTTTTGTAGTAACAGCTCATGCGAAACACAATCGAAGGCTTTTGAAAGGTCGCAGAAAATCCCTATAGTGAATTGTCTCAGGGACATAGAATCGAAGATATCCTGCATGAAATTCCATACTGCAGCTGATGAGGTATTTTTATTTTTTTGAAAACCAAATTGTTTTTCTGTGAGTAACCTATTTTTTTGAATATATTGAGATAAGCGAGTTTTCGTAGCAGTTTCAATTATTTTTCATATTACTGATAGTTGTGATATTGGCCGGTAGTTGTTAATATCTGCCTTTCTTAAAGAGTGGTTTTATGACTGCAGGTCAGGCAAAATTCCATTTGAGAAGGAGGTGTTTATAATGTTTTCTAGGGGGAATTTAAAAACTTCTACCTATTCTTTAATGAGCAGAGTAAACAAACATCATCAACACCAGTAGAACATTTGTTTGACAATGATTGTATAATATCCGCTGTTTCCTGATGTGTAACAGGGCTTAGAAAGAACGAGTTATGAGAATGAGTTAATCCATAAAAGCATGGTTGGTCATTTGACAGATTACTTGATATATGAAAAGCCGTATCAGAGAAATGTTTATTGAATAGCGAAGCTATTTCGTTTGGACAAGAAGTGGTGTTATTTCTATCCAGTTGGAGTTTAATATTTTCAAAGAGTTTAGGTGATTTAGTGTTTTGCTTTATAATTTCCCATGCGGCTTTCGGTTTATTTTGAGAATTTGCAATTAAATTCGTAAAGTACGATGCGCGTGCAACTGCTATGGTGTTCTTAAGTAGTGTGGACATAATTATGAAAATGTTGACTGGTACTGTAATGTCTCATCTCTAACAGCCATCTCTTATTTCGACAGGATGTCTTGATTCCTTTAGTGATCCACTTCAACTTCTTAACAGTTTTATTATTATAGTAGACTATTATAGAGACATGAGACCTTTCATTAGTACCATGAAGGGTATTGCCCCCCCCCCCCATTTTCTAAAGTTAACTTGGTAAGACTAAAAGGCATGAGTATGCAAAATCTGAGAAAATCTGTCGTATGTAAAAGTTGCACGTTTTACTTTCAAAAACAGCATCTCAGGAAATAATTCGTGGAGGGGGCCCCCTTTTTAGAACAGCGAAATTTTTATGGCCGTCTGGCACACCTTCAAGGTATAGGCTACCTAATGCAAAAAATTCCAGGACTCTAGGACCATTCCCCTAGAAGTAGTTCGATAAGTAAAACAATAGCACATTTTTTTTTAATTCTTAAAAAATGCGCTAAAAATATGACTGTACGCAAGATCAAATTAAAGAAGGCGTAGAAGTATTACGGAAGGCCTCTAGCGGCGAACTAAAGAACTAATGTAATAGCAAATCTACTACAAGAATAACTTACATTTAACTAAACGGATTTACAAAGAAAATACCAAGATGGCGTAAGAAGAAGAGTATATTTCGAAGAGTTACTTAAATGGAATATTGGTAAGAAAAATATTAAATATCGCAATAGGGTTGGACAACAAGTAATAGAACTGAGCTATAATCGTTAAATTACTGAAAAAAAATATGGCGGTATCGAAAGCCATTGTGGACAAATGCCGGCTTACAGAGTATCGAAGAAAATAAAATATGGTACCCTAGAACTCTAGTCACAGTCTTACTGATCTCAGAATGGTGCTTTTAACATAAAATCTGCAATCAAATACAAACACAAAAACAAACGAGAAAGTATTGGCAGCACTGCATTGAAAATATACGAGACCAACTTAACATTTGATATTATTGAGGTACTCGAATATTAAAAAATCGTAATTAACACTTAACAAGAAACAGTAATTCCAAAAGACTTTAAAAAGTACTAAATATATTCGTACAAAAAAATACTATAGGATTTGAAAGATAATTAAGCTAGTATGAAAGAATTCAAATCCAGAAAGAGAAAACAATAAATAATCTTGATAGGTACGTAAAAATTACGGCGTGCATATACTAGATGTAGAAGCTTCAGGCTACTACTTTATTTCTTATGGGCGCCATATTGGATTTTTTACGGGACGAGACACAAGACTAAAAGAAAAATAATGACGTGTCATAATAAATGAATCGATTATTTCTTAAAAGGACTAAGTGACGACAAATTCTAATAACAGATTCAGATTCTCCGAGAAAAAGTGACCATAGAAAGTGCTAACAAGAACCGTCCATTTCCGATCGTTTAAGCTAGAGAAAATTAAATCAAAATTTTACACTTTCAGTTTTTCCGTGATATCTCAGTTACTTTCAAAGATTTTTCAAAAATTTTAAGCTTTTTTTATTCACAAAAGGGGACAACTACCCCCATTTAACCTACACTGTATCTCTTACCGTTACGAAGATCCCAATGGTCAGCCACAAATTTGTACCACTCTGTACATACTAATAGTCTAATACTATTCTATTGTACCTATTTTGTCCATCAGAAAATAAGTAAGGTCTGGGAGCCCTGTGATCAGTTCATTTTGAAAAAGTGGTCTCTGTCCCAAAATAGTTTGGGAATCCCTGGTTTATATGAATGTAGGTTTTTTTATACCCAATCTATGTAAATATGCCTTTCCATTTACATAATTTTAAAGAAAAAACCCGCGAAATAGTTTAACGTCATCCTAAACCACCATCTGGCGGATATCAATAGCACTAAATTAAAACTGCCGACATGTGATTGAAGTTCAGAATTAAATCACTACAAATATTAAAATAAAAACAAACAGTACAGTCATTCACTAATCTTCACAAAATTAAAATATTCTATTTCATTATAAATGGTGTGAAATATACAATTAATGTAAATCAAATTGGCAATAGTGTTGCATTTTTATACTTGATAGTGTCCACACGATAATTTAAAACACCCAACTTTGGTGTTTTTATTTACAAAAAATTGTTCCGAGTAATTATCTCTGGGGAATAGGTGGCCAAAGAGCTTGATGCTACACTGAATTTGTCAGTGCGTACGATAGAATTTAATTCTGGGGGGATTAAATAAGTTCGTGGCACATACAGTCACCCAGTGCGTACTAGAAGGGGGAGGGGGGGGGGTAAGAAATAGAAATTGGGTTGCAGGTTGCTGATACTGGTAGTCACTTATCTATTTATTATTGTACAGGCGAAAAAGATTAGATTAGAACGGTATTTTATTTCTTACTGCTGACAGGCCCCTTTATTGCTTTTGCTTTAATTAGTCAACGAAAACTTTGAATAATAGGTATATTTATGGGCAAGAAACCAATTTCGACAAAAAATTCAAAGTGCTGTAACTTTTGATGTAGTAGTCCGATCTTGGAACTGTTTGGAATTATGGATTCTACAGGCCACATTCTATAAGAAAATATTTTTTTCCGGTCGATCTGAGACAATTTTTTTTTCTGGCCAAAAAAAAGGCAGTGTATTCCTTTTTTACCAAAAATCGACTGCACCAAAATTTCTCGGGAAAAAACTTTTTCTTATTAATTTGGGTGCGTAGAATCCAAAACGATTCGTACTTTTCCGATTAGACGTCTCCATCAAAAGTTATGGGCAAAAAACCAATTTCGACAAAAAATTCAAAGGGCTGTAACTTTTGATCTAGTAGTCCGATCTTGGAACTGTTTGAAATTATGGATTCTACCGGCCACATTCTACAAGAAAATATTTTTTTCCAGTCGATCTGAGACAATTTTTTTTCTGGGCAAAAAAAGGCAAGTTATTACCTTCCTTTTTTACCAAAAATCGACTGCACCAAAATTTCTCGGGAAAAAACTTTTTGTTATTAATTTGGGTGCGTAGAATCCAAAACGATTCGTACTTTTTCGATTAGACGTCTCCATCAAAAGTTATGGGCAAAAAACCAAGTTCGACAAAAAATTCAAAAGGGCTGTAACTTTTGATCTAGTTGTCCGATCTTGGAACTGTTCGAAATTATGGATTCTACAGGCCACATTCTATAAGAAAATATTTTTTTCCGGTCGATCTGAGACAATTTTTTTTCTGGGCAAAGAAAAAGGCAGTGTATAACCTTCCTTTTTTCCCAAAAATCGACTGCACCAAAATTTCTCGGGAAAAAACTTTTTCTTATTAATTTGGGTGCGTAGAATCCAAAACGATTCGTACTTTTTCGATTAGACGTCTCAATAAAAAGTTATGGGCAAAAAAAATTCCTGTTTTTAAAATTTAAAATTCTTATTTTCGTCATTTCGTGAAAGGCAGGACGCAGGTACCTCACCTCAATAGCAGTACTAAGTACCTGATACCTATTTGTTATTTTGGGCATCAATGTAGCGAATTGCCGATCGATGCCGAATAGCCAAATCGTTGACTGCCAACACTGATCACTCACTGAATAGTGAATACTGAATACTACAGAATATTTAGATTTTAGTGACTTTAGACGTAAATACGCCACTGGTTTGATGTGTGTTTATAGCTCAGGTTTATAGCGTTGCCGGTCGCCATGTTGAGGCTAAATTGCTAAACTTTGGTATAGTGTACCCTTTTTTTGCGAGGTCCTATGCTACCTTGTTTAAGTTAACCCCAATATTGCAGTCGAAGGGGGTTTATGACAAGTTGTCACCACTGTTCCAATACCTATAGTAAGGGGCGGTTGCACAAAGACAGTTTAAACCTAGCTTGGAGTTAACCAGTGGATTACGGTCGAGGATTGGTTGAAATTTGACGTTTTGTCAAATTTCCACTAATCATATGTCTTAATCCATTGCGTTAATTTAAACGAAGTTTAGACTGCGTTTGTAGTAAAGTAGGAACAACTGTCACGCCTTGTTGATCATGGAGTAAAAGTAATTGAACGCAACCACTTAGGAAGTGTCTCTGAAACTTGTATTCTAGATTGGAAGTGACTATTGATTCGACATAAATCGAAACCGAAAGTGGAAAGGTTCATAAACCAAAAACAAAAATATTTCAAAATTTTAAGTAACAACGGAAACTTTCACAAAATACCTCTCAACAATGCCTACATAGTAAGCAAATGGAATCTGAGAAACTATTAGTGGCTGCAGGATTAACAGCGGCAGCAGTTGTTGGTGCTTTCGTGTTCTGGGGGCCCGCGACACATTCTGGACGCGGTCGCGGTCGCCTAGCCGGATTGGTAAACTTGGGACAGACGTGCTTTTTAAATTCGGTGTTACACGCTCTTGCGGCTTGTTCGCAATTCGTCTGTTGGCTTGATATCGACTCATCTGCCAAAGATACTAGTTTGCGAGTGACACTGTCAACAGTCTTATCAGGTTTGAAGCCATTATAATGACAAGTTTTAAGATTTTCTTTCATAGTTATAAATGGGACGCATAAATCTGTTCAGGAGACATCGTTTGCTCCATCTGCGATCATTAATGCACTAAAACGATTGGGATGGGTGATACCGGCCGGCGAGCAGGATGCACATGAACTACTCAATGTGCTACTCACCACTCTGGACGAAGAGATGCAGAAAACCTCTAGAAAGGTCTGGTATATTCCGGTTGTGTCACTTCTTAGAGTGTACTGTTTCAGGCCGGTTGTCTCTCTCACGCACTGGAAATCTGCGACATCGGTAATCCGGACGTAGAACCGGAAAGCTCAGAAGTTGAAAGTATGGGAAGTGTAATGTCTCTAAATGACCTGTGTCGTCCGAGCAATTTATCTTGGCGGGGTGGTGCCAACCATCGATACAGGTGGATTTCTAGGTCCTGCCGTTCCTTGCAGTTACTAGCAGGACCGCCCGTTCAAAGTTTATCACATCCATTTAGTGGAACTTTAACTAGTCAGCTGAGGTGTACCGAGTGTAGTCATAAGGTATTTTCATCAAGTGAAAGTTGAAGTAAAATAAAGGATTATTTTAGTCTGCCGTCCGTTATGATAAATTTGAAAGTTTGTCCTTGCCCCTTCCATCTGGTATGGGCGATTTGGGATGGGGTCGTCACAAGTTACATCAACTTCTGACGAATTTTGTCACTCCCGAAGTGGTCTTGGATGTTCAATGTGAAGGTTGTAACGAAGGGCGAGATCCCACGTCAACTCCAATTTATTCCAAGCAAATAAAAGTGCTAAATTTTGGGAAGGTAAATTTTCGCTGTACCTGAGAAGTGTTGTGATTACCTACGTGTATTTCCAGCTACCTTTATGTCTTTGTATTCACATTTCGCGGAATATGTGGCAGACGGGGGCCATGTCAAAAAGACAGGACTATGTTCAATTTCCTATTAGGTTATCACTAGCTCCGTACACTTTCTTGCAAGCCCAGAACCAAAGGAAGCTTACAACCTCGGTGAGTAGTAAGTAGTTGCCTCATTGTAGTGAATGGTTTGACGTAGATGTACACAAGTACAAGTGAAGGAGGAAGTCCTTTATCTAACAGCATGCCTTCGGCATGGGGAGCTGCTTCCTTTTGTGATAAAGCGGCTGAATGGCGTAATGTGTATCAGCTTGCTGCTGTAGTTGTACATACAGGTAGTGCGCACTCAGGTCATTTTATTACTTACAGACGTGGACACCAAAATACTAAGTAAGATTTAACAAAATTTTAGTGGAGTTATAGCAATTCGTATTTTAGGTGGTTTTATACTTCTGATGTAGAAATTCGAGAAGCAACAATTGAAGAAGTCTTACAAAGTACAGCTTATATGCTGTTTTATGAAAAAAGTACAAGTTTTGGGGGGTTTTAACTATCAGCATTAAATATAAAGTTCCTTTATGTTAATATTTTTCGCATATTAATTTTTCTGAATATTGATATGACTCAATATTTGTGATAAAGCCTGATAATTGTTTTATTTAAATATTATATACATATAGGCGTAAACAGTTTGTGGTTTCTTTGAACAGTGCCTTTTTATAAGTTAACTTTGCATGGAGCAAAACCAGATTCTTTCTGTCCCAATAAAAAATCTAAATTCCCAAAGAATTGACTACACAAATTTTCATTAACACCTTACATAATCCTTTGGTGCGAAAACATGCACAAACATGAACATGAAAACTATCCGGGTCGCACAATGGGATCAAATAAACACAATTGACAATGGCAAAATTTTTTTCCGAAACACATGAAAGAAGTAAAACAAAAGCCCTCAAAGAGAGAAAAGCTTGTTTGGCATGTTACCCCGCACGCGCGCGGTCGACATGAGGGTACTTTGTTAAACAATTATGGCCACAAATTATGACAAATTTTACATTGTAATGAATATTTAGGTATACCACTAGTGCTTTAAGGAATTTGTTTTCTGATATAATAGTTCATATTCTTCTGGCTTCAAGTTAGCATTTAAACCAAGCTGCTTCATATGAATTACAACATCCATCAGGTAGTCATAACACTCGGTCATTGTTTTAGCTTGTTGCCAGGTATCACCCCAAACATATATCTAAAATTGAAGGCGCTGAAGTAGATGATGTTAGTACATAATACATACCCCATGTCGTCTAACAAGAACTGCACATGTTTCTGGATACTCTGCAATGACTTCGGCCATTCGATCCTTTAAATCCTCCTCAAAAGGAGTGTTTTCGATAATTGGTACAACCAACTCTTCGTCGTATCTGTAATTCCTTCCCAGCTTGGCGTTTTTTATACCTTTAATCATCTCCAAATGAGTACACTTAAACTCCTTTCCCGGAAACAGCATTGTGACGAGGAGTGCATTTTTTGAGTGAGTGTGTATAACTGCACCTGCGTTCCTTTGAGTATATGCACACATAAATAACGGCGTACACTGGCTTTTCTTCAATTTTTTTTCTGGAGGTGGTAATTCTAGGTCTTTTCCGTTGATATCTTGCACAAACATATCAATTGGTTGCAGCCTTTCCTTTTGTACTCCGGAAGGAGCAATATATATCTTCTCACCATGTTTAATACTGATGCCACCACCTAGTGAAGGTATTTATGTAAGCGAATAATATAATACCACATTTACCTACCGGTTCCAGTTACCCACCCTAAATGGTAAAATTGCCTACACAGTTCCGGAATCAAGTGTTTAGGGTGTTCATTATCTGCTAAATTTTGGACAGACATCTCACATTTACTTATTGTAATGAAAAACCTGCGGGTCAATGAAATTAATGCAAACTTAGTTGTTGGGATGCCTAGTTGGAGACCTTGACTATTTATGTTTAAAGGTCAAAGATAACCACATAACCTTATTATGGTCAAAGTTTACACTGATATGGTCGTGGTTTCAGAAATACGGATAGAAGACTTTAATCACACAGTAGAAAAGCCACACATTTGGTTGTGATACGAGAAAAGCTCAAGAAGTAAGGTTAATAGTTCCTTTGTGTTGCATAGTAGTTCCAAGTCGTTCTACAGATAGTTCAATTGCACTTATGTGAAAGTTCTGATGACTTATTTAATACACAATGGTGCAAAATATTTAGTTGCTAGAAGATTCTGGTAGGAGCATAGAACATTTTAGAAAACCCATTACATGTTTTACAGCGTATTTCAAATATCTTTCAGAGAGGGCTTTATAGTACAGTAACTGTATACAGACAGAATAGCCATGTCCGCTATGTTTTTTTTTTCAATTTACCATTGATCTGATTGGTTTACCCAAATTATTAAATTTTGCTATGGTTACAATAATGCTGTGACTACAGTGACTTTATAAGGACAGTGGCGACAACTTATCATAATCCGCCATATTGGAGCTAAAAAATTGATTGTAAGATCAATATACCTTGTCATGTCAAATTGTGAGCGTAGAATAATAAATGTCAGTTTCATTTAAGTAAAGATTCTTGTTCAAAACGAACGGCGCAGAAATGATCGTTTAAAGCTTTGCAGAACAACCTATGGGAAAACAAATGCCTCCCAAATTCAAAAAGGTATGGGTATATGGAAAACGGTATAATAAGTATGACATATGGTGCAATATCCAAAATGTACATATAAATAATCATTAAATTGTGTTTGACATTTCAGTGTCTTCTGTCACTTCTTGTCCCCTGTCGCGTGTTGCTCCTTCCGGACTTAAAAGTATTTCTTTAGTCTCTTAAATGGAAGACAAAACACGTTGATCTAGTCCACGGAGTACAAGAGATCAATATTCCATGTGCTCCAGCAAACATGAAACCAATTCAAGCGTATTTACGATCACAATTGAATTTGCTGCTAAATTTCGGATAAGCTGCTTCTCTAACCAGTTTTCTATCTAAACTCATTAGGTATTTAGGGCTTCTGAAAAAAATTTTACATCAATTACCTGTCGTAAGGTTAGGCACAGTTTTACATCTAAAAACACTAAGCGGATTACATACCTTATAATATCGTAATAAATCCAAACTATATGCGTCTTTAAAAATCGAGTTTATATAAAACTGGAGACGGAAAACGTAAAATAAAGCAAATACAAGAAAACTAGTAACATGAAGCCGTGACAATTACAGGTGACACTGTCAAAACAGTATAATTAATAATTATAGCACGGAGTGTACCGCGTCGTTTTGAAGGTTTTCTATTGGCCAGTTTGGAATTTAGCTCCAATATGGCGACCGGAACCAACGACCAATCAAAAACGAGATACCCTGTTGTCGCCACTGTCTCTATAAAGTCACTGTAGCTGTGACAATTGTGTCCAACAAGATTAATTCATCACTTAGTTTCCAGGTTAATTTCTAACAATCCGGTGTATATGGTCAAAACATAGTGGCGGATCTCCCAAGTCCCAATAGAAGATAACACCTGTATGACCACACTGTCTTTATAAAGTCACTCCCGAAAAATCACTGCAGTTTATAGAGTTTTTTAGCTCCTTCTCTTTCTTAAATAGCGTCTAAGGGGTTTGCGTCATAAACATATTATCCATAGTCATATGAGATTCGTCTATGGTTATCGTTAGAATGCTGTCGCAAGTACTTGCAATCTACAACTCCTACTAATCTGGACAAATTTTAACAGCATATTGGATAGTTTTGGATTTTTTTATTGTTTTCTCGAGACCCTTATGTTCTTTCCTTTAAAAAACCCTGTAAAGCGTTGGAAGATCTCAAAATGCCTAAGCTGTATTCAGATCGATCCTTAGAAGATTTTTCGAAGCAACCTGATGGATTTTCGAGAATAGTTCAGCGACGTTTTCAATAACTTTGAAGCACCTTGCCAAAGCATATCAATGCTTTTTCGCATTTTTAAAGCTAAACTCTTCCCATAACGTTCTATCTTGGTTCATATAACAATATGGTTCTATATACGTTTCCTCTAAAACACAACCGTTCTTCATATACCTTTAGGCTTATTCTGTGGATTTTTGTACCCTTTTTTGGGTATTTCCTAGGCTTACCTAGTTCTAGAAGGTGGGCGAAAAGCTTTTTATGGTTCTAGATCACGTATAAGAAGTTCCTGAAAATCATATTGGTCTTCTGAAATACTTCGGAATGCCTTTTAAATCCTTACCAGAGGAATCAAAAGCTCCCAGGTCCACTCTCTAATACTCTCCCAAAGGTTCTTTCCATCACTTTATAGCCACCTAATTAACAGCACTCGCAAAGTCTTTTTCAAAGTTTGATAGGAATTTGCCAAAGCAATCTAGATGTTTTCCTGAGTTTTATAGACTCCCACTTTTGGAACAACCAACAAAGTTCTGGAAAGGGTTTAGTAGGAAAACTAATTTTAGAGCATCAATCAATTTCCAGAGCTTTGAATGCTTTTTACAAAGCCGATTCGGGAGCCTGAGAGAACTGGAGTTCTCACAAATCCATATTTCTTTGAAAAGGCCAAAATTTTTGTTAGGATTTATGTCGTTTCAATAGGCACTTCCTAGTTCCACAGACAACTGGCTGCATTCAGTTTTTCTTGTTTTTGTGGTTATGTTTTGACATTTGTGTAATTTAAAATTTAACTGTCAGAATGTAAATAAACAAATTTGGGATTTGAACAAAATGGATTGTAATTTAGACAGTATTTACGATTTAATAACAAAATTATGCGAAAAGTACGCCTCCTTAAACCAAAATTCAGGTCGCTCAGGCGAAAATATCAAGAAGCTGCGCAAAAAATGCTACGAAATATTGCTTTCGAGAAATACCAGCTCGGGTACGAGGATTTCTTGTATCTATATTATCCGCTAACTTAATTTTGCAGTTGACTCGTTGGAATTGGAAGGCAATAATGATCCAGTGTGCCACTTACTTGCGTGGGAATACATTTTAAAGTCCGACTATAGTTTAACAGATCAAGCTAGAAAAATTAGGAATTGTTGCGAGAAATTGGAAAATCTAAATGTATTTGATGATCAAGTAAATTGTAACATTATGATGTGCTTATTGCACCTCAGATCCGTACCAAAAGGAGATGATTCGATAATGGTAAGTTATCGTAAAGTGACTGCATTATCGTTCTGTAAAATCTGTTTAAGGAGAAGAGTCTCAATCGTGAGTTGGAAGGCAAATTTAGCAAACCTTTGCTATTCCCAGCGTTTGATAATAGTAAATTTCATCTTAGCGACGACGAGCTTTTGTATGGGATCCCGGGTTATGATAGTGACATGTTTAAAATGGGTAATCGAAGGGTAGTGTATAGGACATCACATCATAAGAGTGCCAATGACTTCATAAGCCACAAAAAAGTACAGGAAGCTATAAAATGTGCCGAGGAGATGAATGTTTCTGACCAAAGTACTGTACTTCTGCACTATGTTTTTGTTCAAGTTTTTCTTGTAGATTTAAACATCTGGGAGGTGGCGTCCAGGAGCCCTCCTAGTGCTCAACGAACATGGGAGGAATTCGGATATTCGTGCACTAAAAGGGAGTTTCCCTTCTTATGCGAGTCCATTCCTGAAACGACCGCATGGGTCTGTAAGTTGTCCTCACAGGTGGAAAGGTGGGGCACCCCGAAACCGGACGCGCGGAACGTTTTAACCTCGCAGAGATTCGTGCGAGATATTAAATACTTATTAGGTTTGCACAACTGTTGGGACGATGTAGGTGTTATTTTACTTTGTAGTCGGCATCGAAGCAAAAAGCTTTCTTGTTAAGGCCGATGGGGAAATGATGATTAAGCCTGGGATATCCGTTGAGGGGCTAAGTCCAGGTGCCTTGAAGTCGTATTCTGATGATCTCGTGTTTTGCAGTAGGTGCTATAAAGGTTTAGATGCTCTGTGTTCGCAAAATCCCTTCACTTTAAAGGAGACGAATAATGGTTACATATTTTTTGTAAGTAATTTGTCGTGAGACTAAGACTAAAGAGATAGGCTCAGTCAGTCTGTAAACTAATTTACGTTGGCCTTGACCTCATTTGAAAGGTCTTTTTTCATCCTACAAAAATGCTTTATACTTTAGGTGAAAAGGTCGAAATTATATGAATTTATGTAGCCGAGAACTGCTGTTTAACAAAAGGCATTCGGACAAGGTAACATCACATAGGTGCTGAGATGGTACCTGAATATGTATTTTTGAATTACCATGTATAAAAAATTTCCAACCAAACGTTACAGTAAATAAATATGTTTTTATTAATAATAATTCTGCCTTTGTTGTCATTATACTTTTCCATGGCCGAAATCGTTTACCTGCATTTCCCGTGAAGTCACAGTTACATCAGCTATTTGGGATAAGGTACGTTTGAATTCTATCTATTTAAATAAACTGAATTGCGTTTGCGCTTCTCTGAACAATTGTTTATAACGTTGTTCGTAAGGTTTTGGGGTTATTTATAGTTGAATTTGGCATTAGAATATCCATTTAAATTGTATATTACATTTAAGATAGAATTTTCCGTTACGAATCGAAACTTGACATTGTTTATTACCTATAACGTTTGCATCATAAATAAAGCAGACGTTGTATCTTGCATTTGACAGTGTTTATTGATTTGAAGATATAATTCAGTTAACATATCAATTTTGATGGGATATTTAAATTTACCGCTTTATCTGAATTATCCAAATTACATTTTGGATATACGAATACCACTTTATTTATTTACCACGTACTTTAATAGACAAGCAAAAAATGTAAGATCCATTCAACGAGCTATAACCTAAGGAGCAATTACAATTACTTTTAGCTAAGGCTTGGGCATAAGCGACTACTTCTCAATTTAAATTAAAAACGACCTTTTCAAAAATGGTCTCGCAAGAAACACGGGGCGTGAGCGTATCTGTGCAGTCTTAGCATTCCCTCTTGTAATTACCCTAAATACTAATTGCCGACTTGTAGGAGCTTTGTGAAAGCATAAAGCGCTATTTGTCATACTACCGACTGGCCATTTTGTCTATTCCCAACTCATTCAATTTACTTATGCTGCACCAACATACGAGGCAGTTAAGAAA